CTGGACCAACCCGGCAGCACCCCAGCTGCTCTGTCCCAGGTGTACCCAAGTTAGCTGCTGCTGAAACTGATCAGGGGCTGATTCCAGGAAGCCGGGACAGAGTTGCTCTGCCTCGGGCTTCCTGGAGTCAGCCACTGGTCAGTTTCAACAGTGGCTGAATCAGGACGCCTGGGACAGAGCAGCTGGGGCGCTGCCGGGTAGGTCCCTGCAGCACCGCACCTCAGCACAACAACCGGGCAGCACCCCAGCTGCTCTGCCCCCGGTGTCCCCAAGTCAGCCGCCGCTGAAACTGATCAGGGGCTGATTCCAGGAAGCCGGGGCAGAGCGGGCAGAGCAGCTCTGCCTGGGGCTTCCTGCTGTCAGCCGCTGGTCAGTTTCAGCAGCGGCTGAATCGGGGACAGCTGGGGTGCTGCCAGGTTGGTCCCGCAGCCCCGAGGGGCAGCGCTAAGGGACCTATCCAGCGGCACTCCAACTTCTCTGCCCCTGGCTTCCCAGATTCAGCTGCTGGTCAGTTTTAGCAGTGGCTGAATCATGGAAGCTGGGGGCACCTTCTCTGCCCCTGGCTTCTCCGATTCAGCCGCTGTTCAGTTTTAGCAGCAGCTGAATCAGGAAAGCTGGGGGCAGAGCAGCTCCAATGGTCCGGCTGCCTGGAGCACTTTTGGGTTCCTGATGATGCCGGACCATCAGGAGTGCCGGACCATCAGATACTGGACCATCGGAGTTTTACTGTGCTGATGTTATAGGCAGGAATCCAAGCTTTTGGTGAATTTGAAGAACAGGCCAAAATAACTTGTAACAGATATTTTAACAAATATCTTAGAGCTACGCTTCACAAAAGATGCAAATTTTCAGTTTAAAGTGCTAGTAATCAGTAGTTTAGCAACAATAGTTTACAATGTAGGTGTGTAAAATTTAAGATGACACCAAGCAGAAATAAAAAATGCAGTTAATTGTAATGCACAGTTCCACTATATCATTCCAGAGATTTAATACATTAGAAAATAATGTGTTTCATGAAAAAAGGAAAAGCAAGGTGTTTCTGCTTCCTGCTATCTGGACTATGGTAAGCAAATTCATTTTCACTTGTTCTACCAGTGTTGCAAATAATCAAATTTAGCTCCATTGGATATTGTCATTTGTTTCTTTATGTATTCCTTTGATTGCAAAGATTACACATGAAATTAAATCAAGAGCAAGTGTTTAGTTAGTGTATAGCAATTATATTAGTTCTGCTTTTAAAATAGAAAATGCTTCCCAAAAGCCATGAAAAAAGTATTTAAATAAAATGTATTACGCCCCAACAGTAAGATCACAAGACGTTCACAATAACTAAAATTTTCCAGATTGATATTTAGCTTATAAATATTACACTTGATTAATAGATCTCAAAGTTCTTTACAGAAGCAGGCAAGTATCACTATCACTTTACAGATTGAGAAATTGATGCAAGTTGCCAAAAATCACTTAGCCAGCCATTTGCAAGAGCAGGAGCAGAACCAGGTGTGAAGGTTTCCAGTCCAGTGTCCCATCAACTGATTCACACCAAAGATGTGCTCAGCTGTGTTAGGAAATTATTTATCATGGGGACATTTGGTTTTATATATTCAAAACAAATAAGCCTATTTCTTACCGCAAAGCCTAGGTATCAATAAATGCTATTCATATATAATTGTCATCCCCATGTAAAACTCCTATTTTAAATAACTAGATCTGTA